TGATCTGACATTCAAAGGGCAGGCAACACACTTCTGGTGACAGTCTTATAATAATAGAAGGCTGAATCCACCCAACAATTACCTGAGGAGATAATAGCTGGAGTACTAGATATTTCCCACTGTGGCCATAAAAAGTATTTTTAAACGGGATTCACCAGAAAAGGCATTTCAAGGTATTTCAGTTCCTCTCTTTCTCAATGCCTGCCTAGCTGCCTAAAAACACTTCTACTTGTGCATCTGTGGCTGGTGCTCCAACCCTTTTCCACAGAGTTACACCAGGGAATCAAATGAGAGAAGAACTGGAATTAACCTCCTTTGTAGCAAAGAACATTGTTGGAAGCACAAGTGTCTTTTTTCCTGCAGGCATTGTTGCCATCGCTTTCTCCTATGTGTATTTCTCTCACAGTCCTCTACTATCTTCCAATAGAAACGACACGGCGTTGCTATAACGACACACTCAACCTCTTTACCTTGCAAACCGCCCCTTTGGGATCCTTGTTGTTTTAGCGCACAAATGGCTCCTGTAATCACTGTAAAACAGATGCAGCAACAGATGTGCTACTATCCCCTGTCTGATAGGCAGAGCAGCATTTTTTGCAGAACTTTGCTGTCCTGCAAATCCCCCCCCCATTCATTTGACAGCTTCCGTTTACCTTCAAAGGCTGAGACGAAAGGCACTAAAGGTAGTAAGACTGAAGGATAGCTGGATCCCTACTGCAATTAGAGGATGCAAGGCTTTGGGGCCAGTGACCAAGCACTGCTGCCTTTGGATAGCCCCAGAGAGTTGCCCTGAAATAGAAAGGATGAAATCTCAACCTAATATATCAATTCCCCCCAACGCTTAAGAGCCAACAGCTAAGTTCTCTAGAAAACGGTAGCTATAAACCAGTCAGGGGACAGATGACTGCTTTTGGAATGGGAAATCTATATCTTCAAGAGGTGACTGAACTACAATTCCCATGAGCCCAAGACAGCCTGGCTAATAGCAAGGGATCCTGAGAGATAAGATGAATGGGAAGGTTTACAGTTCATCCATTGCTGCTTTAAGACAGAGGAACAGCACAGAAGCCCATCTTTATAGTGTTCCACACAGCTCTACAATTTCCTCCCCATTTGTTGGACTGCATTTGGACTTTAGAGACTGCTCAAGAGCACCCTCTGCTGTAGGACAGATCATCTTCCAGGCCACCGGATTATGGATTATGCTGGGTTCAGTGCTAATGTAAAACCACAGAAAGATTCCGAACTCTGTAAGCAAAAACTGGCACAATTCAGCATAAATGGCCACGCTGTTTCCAAGAAGAAATACTCAACAGCTTAAGGAAACTTGCAACAGGAACAGACTGTTATTGTCAGTTTGACAATGGGTGGAATTATCTAAAAGAAGCCTTTTCTTCTTGAAAGCTATTTCTTCCAGGCTCAAATGTTCCAGGACTGAATCCACTGCTTGTGTTGAGCCCCATTTGAACAAGGGCAAATAGATTCTGGTATTAGATGCCCAACTCTTCCCTCCTCTATGCAGACCCCTTTCCTGCTTTGCATGTTTCCTGTGCTTTTAACAGCTGCACATCAAGATATCCAACGGATGCAGCTCTCCATATTGTATAAAGGGCAGTAATGAGAAAAACTGCACCTGTCAAGATGTCTGATCTGCAGAAAAGATAATCAACACTACTCAAAGCGATCAATGGAAGAGGTAAGTATGGGCTTCATTCCAAGAGATCAACCCCAATGCTGTTTTTGTGTACGCATAAGCTTTTTAAAAGCTGAAATAACCCAGCTGGCATTTTCCCACTTTCTTTGATCAAACAATGGAAAATAAAATAATTCACATTTCCTGGCTTTCTGCCTTGACAATAGCAATTTTCCTTGGTAGAAGGTGTCTAAAGATGACATAATGAAGGTAATTGGTTGTCTTCTTACCTAAGCGTCTGTCCTAGGCAAATTTGTCTGAGAGGAAATCCTTTAGAATAGAGCTGCCCTTACTGCTGGATAAACATGCACAGGATTGTGGTATGTAAAACAAATCAAGCTTTTGGGAATGCTGTGATTACCCCACATTGCTCTGAGTAATTGCTGAGATTATTCTAGGATTCAACCCATTTCAGACTCCAAAGCTTCCTGGTCTCAATCTAGGTTTTCAAACCCCTTACAGTCTAACAATGATTCTGGGGTGACCAAGACCACTAAAGGAGGCGCTCACAATGGATAAAGACTGTGGCAAGTGGACTTCATCAGCCTTTGAAGTCCTGCGCACAGACTTAGAAACAGGGGGAGCCCACCATAGCAAAGGCTGCCAGGTGCTCAAACTTGATGCAGCACCTGTCGCTCTGAACATGCCAGGAACTGCAACTCCTCCACCCCCTTGCAAAGCCACATGAAAGCACCAGGGTAGGAGTTTTGCTGATTTATGTCCTTCAACACCTGTGATGGTACCAAGCTGCTCAGCAGATCGACTCACAAACATGCATATGCACCCCCACACAAAACAGAGCATCTCTTTGGAAAGGGAAAGAGGGGGAAAAAAGAAAGAAAACATATTTCAAAGATACCCACTTTTTGAAAATATGGAGAGGAATTTCTGCATCTAGTAAAATCGTAAACGTGCCTAGGGCCACACAGATACACAATGCACATTACCCTCAGATTAACAAAAATTATGCAACTATAAAACGACTAGCTGCAGGCAGAGTGAGCATACAAACAGCTTTTCCCATAGTGATCTTCCAAACAGAGAAAAGACATTTAAAGTTCTTTACTCAATTTGGTTTGGGCAGAATCGACATATTCAGCCTGATCAAATAATAAAATATCTTCAGCTATCTAAGAAGTTAAAAATCTGACCTGTCTGTCTTCAAAACATGGCACAATCACCAGGCCTTATGATGAGGCCTCGCATCTGGACACAAGCACTAGAAGTACAATATTACTTTTCTTACCAAGCATCAGATCGCTTCACTTCTTAATATTGCATTTTTTTTCCCTAAAAGAGACTTCACTTTTGCCGGAGTAAAGTGCCCATCCTACACTGACATCACAAATCAATGTCACAGGACAAAAAAATGGCAAAATGCATCCAGTCACTGGTACACATCTGCCAGGGCTCCCATAAGCTCAGATTACAGCAATTTTGTCCTTTAAAATGCAAATGTAGACTTTGAAAACTGCTTTTGGAAACAAGTGCACCATTATAGTTGCCATCAGCCAAGCCCCCAGCCAGGTCCTCTTGCAATTCAAGCTTCAAAGTACAAATACCTCTTTTTAAGGAGAAAAAGCCTGCCTTGTAGGTTTAGTCCAGTGGTTCATGATTTCTGTATCTTAACCAAGGCTTTCAAGTTGTCCCATATTACATAGGAACAGCCAGGCAGATGACATTTAGCAGTTCTAGTAACTCTCTAAGTCTAGCTCTGCAAATCAAAACATGTCTATTTGAAAAATCATGTCGCAGTTCATACAGTTAAAACACGAATAAGCAACAGAAGCCATCGCCGTTCTTTAAAATTCATTCTTCACGGCTAAACTCTTCTCTTGCAAATGGACTTGCACACCCATACTTCACTTAGCAAGCATGTGCTGCTTTTAGAACGGCTCTACTCACTATTTACACTTCCTTTTCATTTTGCAGCGTACCAGATGATAAAATGCAATCACCTATTTCCCTTCCTCGCCCGTCATTCTCGCGCCCCAACTTTTCAACACGCAAGATTCCTTCCGATCCCCGAAACTTCTCTCCTCCCCGTCTTTCCCCAGTTGCACGCCTCTCCCGACCTGATAAAAAGCATCCCTCGTCCTGCAAAACCAGCCAACGGGGAGGGGGGGGGATCCTTCTCGAAAGTCACGAAGCGCGTTTGCACTTTATGAAAAAGTAGACAGGAAGGGGGGATTAACAATAAATCCGCACATACCCAGTGGAGCTGAAAAATCTAGCCGCGGTCTCTTCCACTTTTACATATGAAGGTGTTGGGGAAGCCGGATAGTGTTTAGAAAACCCAAAGTGCATCGGGGAAGCGCCGATTCTCGCTGCCGTCGCCGCTGCCGCGCAGATCAAACCCCAAGATAAGAGCGAGCGAGCGAGCCCGCGCGGGAGCGAGCTGCCTACAGTCTAGACGCCGACTAAGCCACTGGGGCTCACCAGCCCGTGGCCAGGAGATTCTCTTAAGCTCTCTGTGACGCAGAGGCGAAGGGGTGGGCAAAAAAGGAGGGGGGTGATCCTCTGACGCACGGGCCCGGCTGCAGCCTTCGCCATACAAGGCAAAAAGGGGCGGAATGTTCCGGCGCCCTCGGAGCGAGGGGCGGGATCGGAATGTCTGCGCGGGTGACGCACACGGGGTTCCATTGACGCACGCCTTGGAATTGTTTGATCTAAAAATAGAACGAGCTGCCCCCAGCTAAAAATAGAGCCTTTTCCTAAGCTAGGATTGGAAGGGGGGGGGTTAAAAGAGAGGAGGAGGAGGAGAAGGGAAAGAAAAGAGTGTCATAGGAAGAACCAAAAAAGGGGGAGCGCCGGAGCAGAAAGGTTCAAGGAGCGGAAATCAGGGGCCGATCACCAGCGAGGGAGGGCTTGGGGTGCACAAGAGACACGTGGCTTCAGAGCCGTTTTCTCAACTTTTCGCGCAGTAGCTTTACGGCCTCGACCCGGGTCCTTGCACCCCAGCCACGCCTTTATTCGCTCGTTTCCAACGAAGGCAACGCCCCCTCCGCTCCAGTCCACGACCCTTGGAAATCTCAGGGAAAGTTCACGGCGTGGCTCGCTTCTGTGCTCCTTGAGCTTTTCTTTTTTTTCCTTTTCCCGTCCACTCACTTAAAAAAGGAAGTCTGTTCCCTCTTCTGCTGGTGATGAAGGCAACCAGGTTACTCTCAGGTACTCCTGCAAAACTGTGGAGATTTTGAGCAACCGGTGCTTCAGTGGTAGAAGAAAGCTAAAAGGGCTGAGCACAACCGCCTCAGAGATACTGCAAACTCTTGAGAAGAGCTCCAGAGGGAAAGCTGTGAGGAGACGACCTATTTCAGAAATGCAGTCCAGCTATGCCAACCACATTCTCTCCCTTGACTGAACTGGGGTAGCTATAATGGGGCCTTTCTTGGCCATTGTCTCTGCCTCGTTCCCAGAATGGGATCTAAACTTGGTGTGGACTGCTTTCAGAATGATGGAGGAAGGGATACCTTATAGTTTGTGATCCTCCAAAATGTAAGCAGTACAGTAAAATGTGTTTGCCGCTAAGGTGGCAGAAGGTACTTTTAGTTCTGTTGCTAGAAAATACAGTGTTCCTATGTAAATCACCAAGCAAAAGGTGGTTGTGGAAAAGAATCCAATTTTTGTTTTCCTCAGGATCCTCTCCTGAACTTTAAAAAAAAAAAAGTCATGAGAAAAGAGAGTGAATATTGTTAAGGGATAGAGGAAATAAGACAGAGAGAGTACACAGTGTCAACCAGCCTTTTCTAAAACCACCTTACAGTACTAGAACCCGCCTGTGTTTTTCTTTTGTTTCTTTTTTCCCCCCTGCTGGTCCACTGCTGCCAGAGATCTGTCAAAGAAGAAACAAAATAAAACAATTGCAAAATGTCTTTGGGTGATAGAACAAGGAGCTCCCTGTCCAGAAGCACCTTTTGTAGTAAGAAAAACAAACTAAAGTGGAAGTGAGAAAATACAGGCAGGAGGTTGTTAATGGAATTAACCTGACATCTTGACATTGTGTAATGTCTCAAGCAAGACGACAACATCAGAAAAGTCTAGGACAGCGGTTGCGACCCCTTTGGGGGTTGAATGACCCTTTCACAGGGGTCGCCTAAGACCATCAGAAAACACATATTTCCAATGGTCTTAGAAACTGAGACACCGCTCCTCTATCCATCTCCAGATGGCGGGTCCATCCATGCTGGCGCTGAGACCGGGTCCGGTGAGGCTGGGCAGCAAGGTCGGGTGCTGGTGGAGGAGGAGGGGTGGACCGTGTGGAGGAAGGCGCGGGGCAGGAGGGCGGCGAGGAGACAGGCACTGTGGCTCCTGCTGCTGCTGCTGAGGCAGCCGATCACGACGCAGAAGCGCCACAGCATGGAGTGGCGCGGCCAAGGACGGACGGGCGTGCAGGCCGAGGGGGAGGCGTGGCCCTCCGCATGATGAAATCACAGGCGGCGGCGCCTCGCCAGCTCCGCCTCGGCCGGTGCAGGGGGCGGTGCCACGCATGCATGGCGCTCCCGGGCCGAGGCGGTTGCTGGGACATGGCCCGCATGCACCCTTGGCCTGCCCGGCACGCGCTCCAGCCGCAGGAGAGGAGGCGGAGCGTTCGCACCAGAGAGAGAAAAAGAAAAAGTGAGAGAGAGAGAGAGAGAATGAGCGCGAGCAAACCCCGCCCCTCCTCCTGCCCCCGCCCGCAAGGGTCGCGGCATTAGGAAGATTGAGAACCACTGGTCTAGGATGATTCTTTTGATTCTGCTGCCACTAAAAACCAGTAATTTGAAAGGAGAGGATATAGAAACTTGGAAAATTGGTTTGCAGTTTCAACGTTTTACTTAGGTTATTCCTTTTTATTCCATAGCAATAAGCACATAATATAGATCTTTTTAAAAAGCTCTCTGCCATGGAAATAAAATAGTGCTAATAACATCTTCTCTTAAAGGCACAGGGAACAATGCCTAAAAAACAAAAACAAACAGATGAGGTCCATTTAAAAGAACTGCAATCTTGGAATCAGTTTTAGCCAGCCATGCATTGTACGTATTAAATGCAATTTAATAATATTGGGACATTTTCTGATTATTGCCTTCAGAAACTGATATTAAGCAGTCCGTAGACCTGAGGTAATAAATTAAAGTATTTGATAGAAGAAGCTGGCTGAAACCAAACTGATCTGCACCTGGACAGCCTGTGCACTGGAGAGATTGTAATGAACTCACCTGTCGCAGGCTACAAAAGACAGTTTAACACCAATTTAAATCTACAGTTTTGGCCAAGCTAATCCTTCAGGTTCAACATTTGAAAACCTATGTTTTACAGTATGGAACAGTGATGGCGAACCTTTTAGAAACTGAGTGCCCAAACTGCAACTCAAAACCCACTTATGCATTGTCAAATGCTGGGTGGGTGTGGCCCATTGGGTGGGTGTGGCCCATTGGGTGGGCATGGCTGCGGTGATAATGGCAGACTGGGTGGGACTAAAAAGTTCAATCAATCAGTTTCAACTTTGCAAGATTTTTTTTTCCCCACAAGAAGTTGAAATTAACTGATTGAACCTTTTTTTTTTTTTTTTGCACATGGCAGCAGAGGCCTAAAGCGAAAAGATTTTATAAAACCCAGCTGAAGGCCTAGGGCTGGGGCGGTAGCGTGCGTGCCCACAGAGAGGGCTATGAGTGCTGCCTCTGGCACCTGTGCCATAGGTTCGCCACCACTGGTATAGAATAATTTTGGACAAGTGCATGTATATCTTTAGATCAATGTTTCTCAATCTCAACTTTAAGATGTATGGATTTCAACTCCCACAATTCAGTTTAGATAGACAGAGCTGTAATCTAATTAAATAATAATAATAATAGTAGTAATAGTAGTAGTAGTAAAGTTGGAAGGGACCTTGGAGGTCATCTAGTCCAACCCCCTGCTCAGGCAGGAAACCTTTACCATTTCGGACAAATGGCTGTCCCGTCTCTTCTTAAAAACTTCCAGTGTTGGAGCATTCATCGCTTCTGGAGGCAGGTTGTTCCATTGGTTAATTGTTCTGTCAGGAAGTTTCTCCTTAGTTCTAGGTTGCTTTTCTCCTTGATTAGTTTCCACCCGTTGCTTCTTGTCCTGCCTTCAGGCGCTTTGGAAAATAGCTTGACTCCCTCTTCTTTGTGGCAGCCCTTGAGATATTGGAACACTGCTATCATGCACCCCCTTGTCCTTCTCTTCGTTAAACTACAAATACCCAATTCCAGCAGCCGTTCCTTATATGCTTTAGCATAGGTGATTTAGCTTGATGGACTAAATTCACATAAAACTTGTTTTTATAATGCAAATACATTTTGGATGCTTATCTCTTATAGGAAGCTTTTTTCCCCCAAGGTGATATTTGCTACTGCAAGCTTTTATCTGTTCTTTTTTAAAGCTCCTCAAATAGATACAGCTAGCTACAACATTTTAAATATGCCACCATGGGGTGAAAAATCAGTTCCAAGATGGATTATTGGAAAATGATAGATGTTTAAATGATGGCAGTACTAGCCAAGCTATGTAACATATTTCTTTTATTACTTGCTCTCTCCCTCTCAGGGTAAAGCTTGGTGGAAGCCCTCAGTCAAGGGGAAGAAATCAGAGACAGGAATGACTAAGGAATAAAAAAAATTGGAGTCAGTTTCTGTATGTGTTTTTCTGCACCTGTTGCAGGCTTAATAGGATTCTCCCTAGATCTCAGTCATAAATATATTTTTAAGATGCATTTCACTGTTCCTCTCGAGTATTCCCAAGAGATTTTCTTCTCTATGTATCTGAATGTTTTCCTCACTCTAGTTTCTTTTCTCTTCCTTGAGCTAATTTTCCAAATAGTTTAAGATTTCTACCAGATTCAGGCTTTGAAACATTTTAAAGACTTCCATCCACCATTGGGTCTTCTATTCTCAGAGAAGGCAACCAGACCAGGACAGCAAACAGAAAAGACATCACCCATTAAATGTGTGAAAAATCAAAAGATAACTGAAAATTTAAGGTATCATAAAGTGAACACCACAGATGCAGTATATCTTCAAAAGGCAAAAATCCTAAAAGTAGAAACTGATTTGTAAATGGAGATAATTGCAACTTTCAGCCTGCCATGTGGAACTGCACAGGAGTGAAGAATATTGCAAGAATGTTATCATTCTCTATTATGACAGATCCCCCTCTTCCCCTGCAGCAGACCCCACCTTCCCCACCATCCTGGCATCATGCTCCCTCCCCACCTATCTTTTAATTCATATTACTGCATTTTTAAATTTAATTTTTACTGTTTTATTTACTATGTTTTACATTTTTATATTTTATGTTCTACAAGAAAGCCCCATGGTAGGATGGGAGGCAAATAAATTTAATAAATAAATAAATAGCATACAGGGTTATTAATATGATAATAGACCCAATGTTGCACATCAAAGAAGCATATATTCCTCCTAGTTATATCCTAGAAATTTCTCAAAACATCAAGAATTACAGTCTTCCTTTCCCTACACAAACTATGAAAAAACAATTATTATGCAACACTGGAAGAATAAATCTATATTTGACTTGCAGCAATGGATATGTGTTATTTAATAGTGTTTCAATTAGTTTTCTTTTTCAACAAAAAGAAAAGGAAGATGTCTTTTTAAGGAATCTGGCCAATTATGGAGAGAAGTTGTTTTATTTACAACATACCTCCCTACTTTCTCTTCCTTTACTTTTCATTTATATTATACTGTTCATAAAAGTTTATTATTTGTTCTATTATTGGATAGATTTTTTTTTAAAATCAACTCTGAGGAAACCCCATGCCCAAATAATGCATGAAGCAATATTGGCTTTTTTCTCTCTAGGGATGCTAATTGCTGGGAAATGAGTACTTAGAAAAAATAGCTGCTGTTAAGCATAAGAAGAACAAATAAGCTTGTTATAAAAAAGTTCTTACAAACCAGTGTGATGTAATGGTTTAAGGCAACAGGCTACAAACTAAGCAGTTTGGAGTTCTAGTTCTGCTTTAGGCACAAAACTCAGTAACCTTGGGGCAAGCAGTCTCTCAGCTCTAAAACAAAACAACCGCCAAGCTATTTATTTATTTGTATTTATTATTTATTTATATCCTCGCCCTTATTTTATTTTTACAAATTACTCAAGGCGCAAACATCCAGCACACATCACTGCTCTTATTTTCCCCACAGCAACAACAAGAACCGTGTGAAGTGGGTTGGGCTGAGAGTGAGTGACCGGTTCAAAAGCCTGACTAGAATTCACGGTCTCCCACTTCTAGCCTGGTGCTTTAACCAGTAGACCAAACTGCGTCTTCCTTCATTTTCACTTCTGAAAATGTTGCTGAGGAAGCTGTAGGCAATTGCCTGGGGTCAAAACTGACTTGAAGGGACAATTTCCTTCTCTGAGAGGCAGTTTGGAGTAGGGGTTAAAAGCATCAGGACAGAAACCAGGACACCAGGACCTCTGCCTTAGGCATGAAGTCATCTAGGTGACTTTGAGCACCTAGGTAGCAGTCTCAGTCCCAGGTAGCAGGCAAAGACAACCGCTTCCAAAAATGTTGCCAAGAAAGTGGCAGTGAGTTGTCCAGGCCGCCACCAGGAGTCAAGGCTGACCTGAAGAGACAGACAACAAAAAAGGTCTTGCTGAATAGCATTGTCTTTTTGAATAAGTATGCTGAGAAAGACGTTGGAAAGAGGTCTGGTGGAAAGGAAACTTGAGCTTACTGGTTCAGCAGTTAGATGCAAAAGTCTCTTTGCAAAGTTTAGTTCAATCCCTAAAAAAAAGTTTGCTCGCTTCTGTAGACAGGAGTCTAGCCTCAGTCTAGCCTCTTTCATTCCCTCTCTCCCCCCCCTCCCAAATTCTCCTGCTGGTGATACTGTTGTCTCCAAACGGAATTATGTGGGCCAAGCATAAAAGACACCGATAACTCAGCAGCTGGAAAGATTGATGGCTTTTCCTATTGTTAAAAATATTTTTGGCCTAAACAACCTCTGAGTTTGCTTAAAGGCCTCACATTTGTAAAACCGACTGCGTAATGAGATGCGTTTTTAAGGCAATGTTTGAGTCAAAGACCTGGCGAGAATCCCAGAGCAACTGCTCTGAAGAAGAATGTAGCCATCTTTCCAACATTTCTCAAAGGCTGGGTTGTGTTAAGGGCAAACCTGAACATTTCAGGAATGTGGAACTGAGGATGTCCTGTGGAGGATTTAATTTTTTCTTTTTAAAGAGTCAGGTTGGTAAATAGGTTAACAGAGGATTCATGTTTGTAGCATAAGCTGTTCAGAAGAGCCCAGATATCTGCCTGTTTCTTACACCAACTACCAGCCAACTTTTTAGTCATGGGGTCGTGATGGGTCGAACACGACTTCGCAATTAACAACAACAACAACAAAATTGCATTCTGATACGGGCTTGTATGTTCAGAATAATGTCAAATGCTTTGAATTATATTTAACTATTTTGGGAAAAACAAACCATAGTTGGGTGGTTTAAGCCACAAAATCACGGCCTGTAAATCACAATGGCTGGGTTTGTTTATTTTGCTAAGAGAAAACCAAAGAAATCTTATTTTGTCTCATGGTGATTGCAAATTCAGGGACAGTATACTACCTAATGATCGTGGAGCCAAAGCCCTCCTAATGATGAATTCATAGAATATCAACTGGAAAGACTGATTTAGGCCATAAATCCAACACTTTCCGCAATGCAGAGAGTCTCAATATTCCATCTCAGAACATCCTCCCTCACTCCTTGTATAATCCTGAACTTGTTAATGATGACAATTTGTGTTGACTGGTGAATGACAGAATTTAGATGTGGATTCACTATCTAGCTCTTTGATTTGTATTATGAGTCAAAATGGAGTCAATATGCCCTCCCGTTGTTCTGGAAAAAGAGCCCCTTGGAAGAAAGCCAAGCCTGAAGGAAAACAAAAAGCCACAAAACTTCCTGCATATTCACCTGGTCTCCAAACGGTGATGGTGGTTCGGATTCCAGAAGAGAAAGAAGAATAGCCTCATAAAAGGCAAAAATCAAATTTGGGAGACCCCCAAAGGGGTAAATGTCATGGCATACCTTCAGATGGCTTCAGTGGGAAATTCCACTGAGGTAAATAAGCAGGCTTGAAGGTGAACAGCCTGTGGCTTCCAGCCTCAGCAAAGTCTGCGGGGGAGGCGAGGACTTCTTTAGGTGCATGGAAATGTGGCTTGCCACTCAGAGGCGGCAGGGGAAACCCACTTAGATCTCCAGGCCCAGATACCTCCTTTCTTCCCTTCAGTTCAAAGTAATTGACAGAACTGTCAATATGTACCTAAGCCCTGGGGTTCCATTCCTGACCAACGTGCTGGAATGAAATGGAAAATCTTGTGTTAAAGCAGCACAAGACAAGTAGATGCACAATGAAAGGTGCAATCTGAATGCAGATCTATAGCCAGCAAGCCAACCGAGCTGCTGGTTAAAATATTTAATTGGGCCCTTGGCCCAATTTTACAGGGTCCTAGAGCTGACTTCAAAAACCCTTGACAAGATATCCGTTCAAACCTCTGATGAAAGATAGGCTTTTTTTTCTCTGATCTTGAAAGAGACAGAAAAAACGGGATATGAGAAGAGAATATAAAATAAAATGCAGCAGGTGAGTGGCCCTTACTCATTGGGCTGGTTTCTAGGTTTGCACAATATATTGAACTACAACCAGGGTTAAGTCATCAAAACAGGGTAAGCATATTGTTTGAGCCCACCTAATAAGAGAAAGGAAGAACAGAAAAGAAAGATGGTCGGAATGAAAGTCTGGGTCTTGCGATCTGCTTTTGGCTCTACCTGGCCCATTCAATTTGCCTACAAATTACTCTGATGGGAATGTGGTTCCTCACTACAAAGACAGATGAACTAAGAAAATATGTTTAGCAAAGGCAAACCAACAGAACCTGCAGCAGGTAATTGCAGCCCAGAATGCTGATTCAATTCTACTTTCCCATCTGAGATTTCCCTCCCAAACACACAAACTATTGAATGGCCACCAAATTTGCTCCATTCTCACGTTTATTCGACATGCTCCTTTTTCTCCCTATTTAGGCATCTCTCTTTCTCCTTGTCTGTATCTGCTTCTACAGACTTTGGGGATGATACATTTTGTGCTGTTCTAGCTGTATATTGCTTGGTGGGCAAACTATATACACAGTGCCTTTTGCAACCATTTAAGAGAATATTGGAAAGAAAGGGATAAGTTTTCGTAGCAATGGCAACAGTGCTGTGGAAAAACAGAAGGCTTTGAAAGCTATCTGACAATGTGTGTGTTAAAACTAAAGCCAACTGCAGTTCTGCTCAAGCAACAGAGCTATTGCTTTACCAGCCAGCAACACGGATGGAGCAGGTGGCAAGTCCCGAGAGACTGTGCTTTAACATCCCTGGCAGCCTCCGGGGCTGCCAATCATATCAAAATCATGTACCCCTCAAACAAAAACCCAGATCTGCAAAATATTCTGGCACAAATTGGATCTAAAGGAAAGAGGGTGTGCAAGTACTCACAGTACATTTGCAAGACAACCCTCAGTTTCAGAGTGTTCTCAAGCCATATTTTGGAACGGGCTGGCGGAGAAGGTAATAAACATCATTGAATTGCCAAGAGCTTTTGGGACAGAGACCAACAAAGTCCCTGC